CGAAACTACAATTTTCGATGTAATGTGCTATTAAAAAGAGTCTTGGCCAGACCAGTGTATACAAGCTGTATTTGAAATGGCTATGTAATAGGGAATCACATAATGACTAAAGCAACGTGGTTAAGGGGAAAAGGAATTTTTAAAAGAACCAGAAGAAGTTACAATCCGAAGCCGGTCGTTGGCATTGATATATGACATTGACATACTGACCTACTGTCAATGTCAGTGGTAACATCGTTTCTTACCATCGATGTTACCAATAACATTGATGAACAACATCGATGATTTGCAACATCGGTAACATTGAACAATACGTGGAATACAGAAAATATAAATTACCAGTAGGAAAAAAAAAGAAATGTTTTATTTTTAGCTAAATAACTAAAAGACTTTAAAAGTAGGTACACCAATGTTCTTAAAATAAAAGAAGAGAGCAATTTTATGTTTTTTATGAAACTTTTTATAGAAAATAAGTTTAGTGTAGAGTTTGTTTTTTGACACCTGCTTTTCCTATACATCTTTGCAACTTTATTCTGTACGTCTCACGGTTTCCGATGTTTCAGCAAAACATCGATGTTTTTAGAATTGTATTACCGACATTGAAACATCAACTATCGAACACATAACATCGACGTTTAAAAAATATCGATAAACATCGCCCATCCCTAAAATGGCCCAATCAAGATAATAGTTTTCCACATCGTCCTATGATACCCTATCGTTAGTATGCATCCAGTCTAACAAAAGAGTGCAACAATCTAGCAAAACCAAAAAGTTTGGTTTTCTTTGCAAAGGTTTCGTTTACTTGAAGTATATTTCTCATTAAGCGACATTTGGCAATGAAATACTTGAATTTGCCTCACGATTATGACGTCTACTTTGACAAAATTGTTAATTATTACGCACAATTACTTAGGGTTTAATAGTAGGTAGTGTTTTGTAATAAAGTATTTTGAATTATTTCGTGTTTGATAACTAACGGAAATAATACTCGCTCTTGTAGGGGCTTCGCACCCTCGCGCAACAATCTAATTAGAAAAATATTAGATAGTAATAGTAAATCTTACAAATGTTTATTTGAATTTCTTAATAGTCTTAAAGAAGTCGCAAATTTGCTATCTTTGTCTTTATCATTTTTTTTTAATTTTCGATAAACAATTTTAAAATTGTAAACTTATTTATGAATCAGTGCATTTTTCAAGTATCATCATTAAAATTAATTCCGCAAAGACGAGGGCCTCGCAGAAATTTACCCGCCCGGAACCCTCCAATGACTAAGGCCGCCCCTGATACTAGCAATAAATAACCGGACGTTAAAAGGGAATTACTGAAATCTGTTTGTTCGTAAATAAACATATTGATATTTTAGAATAATTTGTTAACTTCTAAACTTACATGAAAAAAATCTTGCCATTAAATTTAGTATTCTATTACTGCGTGTTACATAGGTTCTAATGTCAATACTATAGATAGACTACGACGAAGAGTAAATTATTTACATTTACCTAAATAAGCAGCTATTAAGAATAACTATAATATGATCATAACTTTATTAAGGAAACCGAGCTATTCAAAAGTTATAAATCTAATACAGTATAATTCAGAGGAAAAATAGAAAAAACGAAACATTAACATATTTACATATCACAAAATTTTTGTTAAAATAGGAATATTGCAGTTAGAACTAAAAATAACGGTGCTAAATTTAAGTTAAACAAAAGGTACAGATAAAATCGACAAGTCGACAATAATTATTATACGAAAAATTTTGTAAAGGAGTTTTTCTTTGAATTGGAAGGGTCGCGGATAAGCGAGTCAGGATCTCAAATAGGAAATAGATAATGCCTCTCTAAAAGGTACCAATTATTTTTTTAGTCAAACCAGACGTTTACAAAATGCAAGATGCACATATCATTTAGTTAAACAGGTAATATAGAGGTCGTACAGTCCGAATGGCTGAGCGAATACGTAGGTGTAAGGTGTAAACATATCTTGAAGTAGTAAGTAGAAAATACTTGCAAACCTACAATTATAAATTAGTAAGAGTGTGGGTAACGAAACATTAGGAATAAACATACAAAAAAAATTGACTACTTATATATGTTCATAACATTGTATTATGAATATGAAATTGTTATGGGTTTATATGATTGGGCACGTTACAGCGCTGATTGAGGGCAATAGGACAATTGCAGGTTCGCCGAATGTTATCTCCATTCCTAGTCGCGTATGAATCGTCGGGCATGCCGAGAAGTTTCTTCCTAAAGACCAAAAATAAGGTAGGGTATATGCATTAGTCTCAAGCGAGATCGGTGTCATTCGGGCAGGCGCAAAAAAATTCGCATAAGAAATGCAAAGAACTAGACTAGTTAAAAGCACAGCTTTGTGAGGGTTCGCAAGTCTTTTTCACCTAGTTATAATTTTTAAAAGAGAATGTTTCTAGAATTACGGTGGATTATTGTTAATATGGGCTTCTATAAATAATCTATTTGACAAATAATTTCCAAAATTTTTTATTTTATTGAAGCATTAAATTTTTCATACGGATTTTTTCTTCTTTTCTACATTTTAACATATCGAATAAAACTTTTTCTTCTTTTTCTCATTACAACTGCCTTATCTAATATTAAGTCCTAAGTCTCTAACATGAAGGACTAGTCAAAGACATATTAAAGGCAGATTAGATTAATGTTGGCAATTAGTTAAGGATGTGGGATGTTCTAGTTTTAGGGAAATGTGAAGATTAGCTCAGGATAGGAAAGTATGAAGGTGCGTGTCCAACCAATCTTAGGACTGACGACCTTATGATGATGATGATAAGCTAAAACTTCATTACCCAATCCAAATTAGCTAATATAAAAGTTAACACACACAAAGTTTTTACCTACTTTGAATTGCAAATAATAAAATACCTTTATATGTTCATACATGTATATAATACAATCCATATATTTTTTCATTACGACGAATTGCACAAGAAATATAACCATTATAAGCGTTCTACGATATGAAAGGAATATACTGAGCAATTACTTAAGTACTAATGTTAATTTGTCATTGGTTTTTGTTAAAGAAGTGATAATTAGAGACATTTAATGATAACGTATCTACAGAAGGTAGAAGTGAAATGCATAGGAAGCCGCTTAGAATCAAGGCTGGCAAGAATAATACACGGCACCTGCAAGTGTGCAATAAAATTAATGTGCAACTACAATTATGTAAAGCTGACGTACTTTGACCGTCAAAAAGTTGCAAACAGTTTATTTTATTGCTACTGAGCAGTACACATTTGTAGACAAAACATAGAAAATGTATAAAACATTCCTAAACTAAAAACATAAATATTTGTTAATAAACAGGACTAGGTACACAAGAACATACATTGTTTATTTCAATTTGTTATCTATAATAACTTTACACTAGTGTTTCACAATCAAATTCGTTTCTTTTACACATTTGATTGGCTATTATTATTGAAACATTCATTAGCTACTTAAACGTATGATATTAACTTGAAACAAAACATTCTGTGTCTTTTAACTTATTTAGTACCTAATAAAAAATAATCTTTAAATACAACCCTGTTTGATAAAATACTCCTACTGTTAGTGTACGAATGGTAACACCGCTGGCATATTCAAACTGTTTTTAAAAATAAGGTAACTTCCTGCTATATATAATTAAGGGTGTCGGGACGTCTTTTCCGAACCCTGACCAGTTTATATTAAACAGAAAGAAGCGCACAGGGTAGAAAAGCCTTCTGAATACCTATAGTGTCTATGCTCGTGCGTTATCTTTTAAAATAGGTTCTAGAGTAGTAGTATATTGGGTATTTTCATTCGCTAAAACTTTAAAACGATAAAAATATGCTTTATTTTTACATCACACATCAACAAAAATAAATTGTGGTCTGTTAGTTTGTCCATCCTCGATTTATTATTTTTCACTGACACATTATTTTACACTAATTTTAAAAAATAATAAGTGAACATATGTCAGGCAAATTGATGAATGCCAGCTTTCAACAAAAATAGAGATGAAAAACTATCTGTATACAAGAAACATATGTAGTTCATCAGACGTTTTGGAAAATTAGATAAAAGAATCCCAAAGCTAAAAATTTAGCAATGGAAGTTTTTCGAACTGCTCTATCATGTTGAGATACCTAATGCCATCATCACGGTATTTTCAAAATTTTATGTAAGAAGTATTACATTGCCTAATGTAAAGAACATGTGTTTACTTTTGATTTAGGCTGCTGCTAGAAACCCGTTGATAGAGATCCATTTGCATGACGTCATATAAATGCATATGTGATTAAATTTTAATTATATAATTAGAATCAGGGCAAGCTAAACGCGTGAGATTTGTCTTCAACTTCCGTAACCTTTTGATCCTAAACATATCCGCCAAAAAAATTGACAGAAATTAAATAAATTAAAAAAAAAGTACTACATTGGCGTAAAATAGAACCCAGGCCACTGTACCACTGACCCAGTGCTGCTTCATGTAAATTGTTTTTGTGTACATAACCACCTACCACAGTTATTAGATAACATCACATACATTTTCCCGTCTCATTCGTAAAGAGTCATTAGCGGCTCTCGTCATTGCGCTTGATTCAATCTCTAATGACTCGTTGAAGGCGTTACTTCGATAGAGCATTATCGAATATAATTATAGTGATTAAACGTCACTACAGATTACGTTTTCTTTTAAAGAGTATTACTTGTGGTACAACTAAATCCGGTACATCATAAAAGCATCACACTTTTGTATCACACAAATCTGACACCACTATTAGGTGCATCTTTATTTCAAATAGGCATAGATTATACTTAATTGGAAATGCTAATTACCATAACTTAGAATTTACATAATGATCTAAATCTGTTATATTCAACATTAGTAAAAGATATTTAACAAAATATAAATTGCAACCAAGTTGAAGACTTTACAGGAGCATATCTTTATCACGAAAATAGAAAAATGTTACTTACCTAAAATGTACATCATGGTAAAGCAATTGTCGAATGCCATTCCAACCAAAAATCGACACAAGCAGAACGCCCAAAAAGAATTGCAAAACGCTGTTCCAACACCTGCTACAAAACCTATCAGGTTTGTACCGACAAGAGCTGAAATACGCCCCTGTGTATCTGATAGCCACCCGAACACCAAACCACCAATGATTGCTCCACAAAAGAATATGGCTTGGGCAATGGTTGGAAGAGCAGAATTATCACAAACCCAGTTTTGCTAAAATTAAATAAATCCAATAAGAATAAAATTAACTGTTTTAGGTTATTATGAAAATCTACTTAGATATGCATATTAATATATCTTTACAAATTGCCAAAATAAGTGTCTTAATTCAAAATATTTTTTTCCGTAGACTGAATTAAAGTTTGGGTTAATTATTATGCATTAATAATGCCTAATAATTATTGTAATAGACAAATCAATTTTTTTGATATTGAGCAACCCGCAACAAACTTTAATTGAGTAAGAACCCAACGTTGAAATTAATCTTAAAAATCACCTCGGTTGCTATGGAAGAATAGGGAACATCAGCATATGAGAAATTATACTCCCATCCGTGGCTGCAGTATTTTGTTGGCCATGAGGGATCTGCTTCTTGCACACCCCTTGCGACCATTTCTGTGAAATTTACTGCAAACATTCGACATTTTTCAAAACCGCCATCAACTAGAGGGATCGATAGTGCTACTCTGAAAAGAAAATTTGTCATAAATTTCATCGTTTAGTTTACCAATGTCAACATATGAGTTGAAAAACTGAGGTTATAAGTCAGTACCTATACTTTAATTATATTCCGCTATGCATATATGCATTTTTAGAGTGTGCAGACTATAAGTGCGTAATAACGGAATGCGTCTTTTTTAATTCAAATCATTTTAGTTGAAAAAAAATGTAGAGTGGTCCAACATGTGCAACATGCAATGTTTTGCACTGAGAGAAAAGTTAAAAACATTGTATATTTTACTGATGCTGTTCTGATTCAGGTCCAAAGACAGTCGTTTATTGGAGTCGCTTTTTAACGTCTCGTTAGCACAAAAACCCATCAGTGATGTCAAGACCGAAGCAATAGATTGGCTTATGAAGTGCTTTCTGAGATCATCGATCAATTCGCTCTAACAATATTTTAATCTATCTGATAAACAAAATGTAACAAATTTCGTTCAATATCTCCTCACCAAATTAACTACAACCATCAAAACTGTAAAAATTGGAAACTATAAAAGAGAAGTCTGTTCGATGGAAAGTAATTTCAAAGTTGAACGTGACTATTACAAAATAATCAACAATTCCCTCACCTTTCTCGCAAAGAAGGGTAAAAAGGATTAGAGGGTTAAATATACCTATTTATGGGAAATTTTAACGGCCAAATAATCCAAAAAACGACCAGCTAGTAAAAACCCTAAATATTGCATAATCAATTTAAATCTTAACTATCAAACTACAGAAATATTAAATACAAAATTATCTATTTTAAACTTGACTTTATTTCTTATACAGTTGATTATTCATTTATGATTCTAATTGAGACATGACTTAATTATGATATCACAGACTTTGAACTTCCTATAAAAGGCTATAATACTTTTAGAGTCGATCACAATAAAAATTTAACTGGTAAATGTCGAAGAGGAGGAAAGAATCACTTTCACAAAAAGCCCATACAGACTCTAGAATTGAATATATCTCAATTCTGATAAAATCTCATGGTCTAATACCGTTTCTCTGTGTGGTATAACTGTTTGGGACTAAAGTGTAATGTTGTATTTCTGGTCGTTATTGATTGTCTTCCCAGGCGGCCGGCATTGGCAGCTGCCGTCTGATTTTGGGGCAATACGCGAACTAGTTTCCATTAGTACATTGTACACAGCGCACAACCATGTGCGTGATCTGGCCAGTGGATGTATAAATAGTGTTCCTTGTCGTATATTTTATGATTTACACAATGAAATTTAAGTTCCTCTTTTTTATTTAAATGAAGTTTAAATCAGCGTTATTGTATGTATGAATTAAAAAATATAATTAAATTGGTCTTGTGCAGTTTATNAACTTGGACCAAGGCAGACGGACAGAACGGAATCGAACCCGCGTCCTCCCGAATGCTAAGCAATGGTCTAGACCTCTAGGCCATGCCGCTCGGTGAGTACTTATTTACACCGTTTGGTTTATGTAATGCTGGACAAATGTGCCAACGTTTTCTTGATGAGACAACGCGCGACTTAGAATCAGTTTTCGTATTTGTTGACGACGTTTTTGTTCCTTCTAATAACAACGATGAACATTATGAACTTCTGAAAACGTTTTTCAACCGATTAAATAAATACGGTTTAACGGTTTAACAATGAATTTGTCTAGGCGCGTATTCGGTATAAATGAAATAGAATTTTTACGCCTATAAATATACTGTTGTCTGCGCTATCCTCTGCTTAATATCCCTACTACTTCTGTCCTGATTTACCTGACTTCCTAGATACCTAAAATCCAGCCTTTTCTTCTAATTCTTCGTCTCCTATCTTTATATTCGCTCTTTCCGTACTTTGTCTTCCCTTGCATACCGGTATTTTTGTTTTACTTTTATTTTTTATTTTATTTTATTTATTTNGTGGCGTCATCTCTTGGTTAGGCCGGAAACTTATCAATCCACCCTCGTATCTTCATAGCTCTAAAAAATATTTAATACTTCTGATATTTCTCAAATTATTAGCAATATTTGTCTTTTAAGCTTTATTAAAATATTATGTTCTTATCTGACTCATTTTTTCTTTATTTTCCTTGCTGCGTGCTTGAGAACTACATACTTCTAATAACAGTGGGTTAAAATAAATAAAAATAATTACAAAGATGGAAAAGTGAAAATGAAGTTGCTTGAATCAGGACTGCTTTATAATTCTAAAGACAATAGTAGTTCGCCGTGTTGTAACAATTAATATCTTTCTCTTCACTATTGAAAAATAACAATTAATAATACCAAATGACAAGATAAATATTATGGAATAATAGTTTAGCCCACGTAGGTATTAAATACTGTAGTTTGTGAGAACTGAATTTCATTTTTGTTCATTTTACTTTGTAATACTTTTCAGTATGTATTTTAAGAATGTTTTAAAATTATATACGTAACTTAACTCATAATTGTGATATATAGTAAATATTTTCTAATGAAGTTGTATTGTCAAAATCAAGATTTACTAATCGTCTAAAGATAAAAGTTTGAAACATCGTCTCGTTTTATATCAATCTTTAATACATTTACCAGCTCATGTTGGTAAATCCTAACTGTAATTATAAAACCTAAGGATTACCAATATTCTTGCTTTTATAGTAATATCAACACCAAATGAAAGATTTGATATTTTTATTTATCTTTAATTTATTAAATGACGAATCACTGGCAAATAATTTTCTANTTTAAAAACCTTGTTTTTCTTGGTCAGGCCGGAAACTTATCAATCCACCCTCGTAGGTCCTCTTGGAAATTGTGTAGTTTTCGTAGCAAAAGGATTATAATTAAATCTTCGTTGTGAGGAAGGCGGCTGACTGACAAAATGTCGAGTAAATTGAGTAGGTGCAGGTGTAAACAATTTGAGATTATTTTTTACGTCCTTTTGGTAGTTTTGGTAATCCAAAACTCGTGATATGTATGCTTCATTGTCGAGAGTGCGACATTCTTCAAATGAATCTTTGAGTGTTTTAATCCAAATATGCCTTAAGTGTGAGCGATAGGGCTCCCTAATTTCAGCTCTAAATACCATCAAGGTTTTTTCTTCATACATTTTTGATTTAATTAGTAAACTATCTTTATCATTTAGACGAACAAAGTCTAACAGGTTGGCTAATTTTTCCTCTATTTTGGTCGTAATATTTGGAATAACTCCAATTACGTTGTTGACTACATCGTATTAGTTCTAATTCTAAAATTATTTCAGAACGGGGGTCGCTATATTTTTCTAGCAAAAGCTTCAAAAAGTCCCAATTGTTGACAATCTTCATACTATCGATACAATGTATCGAGCAGCTTTGACAGTAATACGAGTCACAATTAGATCGAGTAATGCTACATTTTTGGTATATGGAACGTTATCGCCATAAATAGAACAATAATGTTCTGCTTTGTTTATAAAATTTGAAAGTTCGTACGGTTCACCAGAAAATTCGGCGACCGTACATATTTTTCGTTGTGTGTTAGCAAACATGAGAGCGATAGACGGTGGGTTTGGTTGGGTCATTCCGTTTGAAAGATTTAAAATTGGGGGTTTGATATAAGTTTTGAGTGAAGAAAAAATTGGAGTCGAATACTGTTCTCGATGTCGGAATCAGATTCGGAAAGAGTCATTAACAGTTTGGTTGCATACAGGCAAAAAATAAAGGAATAATCGAAAGGTGCTCAGGCAAATAAAGGTGATGGCACGATGTATTTCCTTTCCACCGGAGGTTCCTGAAGATGTTCCTTTCCACTAAAAGTCTCCTGAAGATGGAATTTCCTTCACAGGGATTTTGAATTGGCAAAATCGAAACTGAACTTTAGCCATGTTTTCAGCACTTTTTCGCGATGAAACCACTATAAACACGCCGTTATCGATCCTGTTCGCAGCGCCAGTTATTTTTGTTTAAAATAAAAATCCGTTTTTAAAAACCGAAAAACTTTATTTAAACAAAATTTGAAATTTGACTCACAAATGAGATATCGCGAGGACCAATACACTTGTATAAGTGAAGAAACAATTCTTGACACGAGTATTTACAATACCATGTCTTGCTGACATTTTCAAAATGTAACGTAGTGCATAAGATGTACAGTAGTTTCTTTATATTAAAAATAAGAGGCAATATATAACTTGTATATTCATAAGTTATTGTAATTAAATAAAACTGACGACATAATATTTATCTATACAAAATTTATAGGCAAATTATGTTTTTTAGGAAATATAATGACCAAAATTTATAATTAATATTTACCTCACACATACTAGTATAAATACTTCTAATAATGTATTCATTTCATTTAAAACTTTAATTTTTTCAGTTCAGGTAACAAATAATTAATTTAAAAAGAAATGAATAAAGTAAAAAAATAACATTATTAACTACAACAGAGCCTAACTATGTCTTGCATTAAAAAAATTTTAGGTCTTCCTTGATATTTCATAATGTAGTAATAATGAGGACGTCTTTAGTACTGTGTAATAATTGAAAAATGACAATAGTTTTTTCAATATATATTTTACTACTTCTTTGAATGATTGAAATATTGGAATGAAAAAAACTCCAATGAATACTTACCGAAAACTGTGTATATATTTTATCGTCCACTTTTGTTCCATTAATTCTCTCAAACTTCTTTAAAATTTCGATAGCTTTGTCTACTTTTCCTTGTGATGCTAGCCATCT